GACGCCAACCCTATGCCACGCCGCATAGACAAGACAATACCGCCCAAAGTGGTGATGACGAGCACGATAACCACTGGCCAGATACGGCCCGACAAGACGCATGCATGACCCCACTCACTACGGGATGGGATCCACGACGAACGCATTGACTTGAAGGCCATCTAGACTGGCGAGGGACCATGACCCCAGCGATCAGGATCGTGGCCCTCAGCTCCTCAAGACAACCAGGCGATTGACGACCTAGGGGTGGCTACCAACTCCCGTACGACACCCCAGGAAACCAGGAGACGATGACGAAGACCACGGCAGAGACCATGTCGCACAAGACGGCTGGCGCACCACCACCATGCCTACAGTACCACCATGATCGGCGCAGAAAGCACCACACCACACCATGCCGCGATGTGGCCATAAGACGATGATGATAGCCATGCCCAGGCGTACTCCACAAGATGGCTTAGCTTGCAAGCCAAGTTAGCTAGGCCCTCTCCCAGGCTCATGACCCTTCGGTCGGAAGAATCTTTCCTTTGTATGTGCCCTGGCCCCAAACTTTATATAAGGGCAGCCAGGGCACCCTTTCCAGGGATTTTGAGTCCCCTACTCATTCACTCACTCTTCATTGTAGCAGGGCTCCTAAAGCTTTCCTTTGGGCTGCCCGTCTCTTAGCTTTAGCTCTTCTTTCTCTTCCACCATTCTTGCACCCCCCCATTATAAGAACTCTAGAGCGTTCAAGCGAGGCACACGCACTCGATCATTTCTGAGACTGAACATAGGGCTCGCGTGAACCAGTATAAATCCTCATGTCATTTGGATACTACCATTGTCTTCCCAGAACAGCGCGACAATCGTATAAGTTTACTAGTCTGGTTTACGAAACACCGACAGGCAGCATAATTTCCCACCTGTTCTTTCATTCTACCTCTCCCTTTTTTGATTTACAATTCAATGGCATCGTGTTCTCAAATCCCATGTGAAGTGCCTCACTGCCTAGACAAAAAAAATCCAAATCCCTTGAGAGCTTTGCAATTTGTAGCCTCTTGAACCTTGCGATTTGAGCCAGCGGTGGCGCTAGCAGTAGTGGCCATAATCGGATTGTCGCCCAAGTATGCCATGTCCAACCTGGTCCTAGGTACATGTGGCTACGCCTCTAACCTGGTCCTAGGTACATGCGGCTCTGCCTCTTGGTTTCTAACCACTTATTGATCTAAATGTCTCCAACTCTCCATGGAGTTTTTGTGGGTTATGTTTTTAGGTAATTTTAGGGCTTCATGTTTTGCTTAGAACAACTCCTCAGGGTTAGAACTTTTGTGGATAATTTTGTTTTTAATTGGAATGATTGGTTTGTGCTTTTGGGAGGTTCACAGTTGTCGAGTTGAATTTCTCAGAAGGAGAGGGAAATTGGTGATGATAGAAGACAAAAATTGTTGCAAACTCCTTTCTTTTGTCTTAGTTCCTCGTTTATTCTATTTGTCCTTTGAGCAGGTCCTCTGTTCTTGGTGACCATGAGATCAATATTAAACTTACCATTTTGTCATAGGATGTTGTAGTCAAAATACTTATGAGCGGGTCCGCTCGAGCCTATGCTCCGCTAGCCTCCGCATGACCGTCTCACCACCTCTGCTCTGTCGTTGCCTCCATCACCGCTAGGGCCATGGACTGCGGCCGCTATCACCTCTAGAGTCCGCTAGAATACATCCCTGTTCCTGCAAATATTCTCCCCCAAGCCTATTTTCTCTTACCTATATGGGATGATGGCTGTGCAACCCTTTGAGACCAAGCTCCACCAAAATTTCTATCATACTTGTTAAATAATTTATTTAATTTAGTTTTCATATCATTGTAGTATGAATTGTACTGATGGCTAGTGCTTTATTCATGTATTTGGAGAACATTAAAGAAACCTCTCATCTTAGCTCTAGGATCAAGAATGAATGCATATGAATATAACAGAGGTATGTCCTGCCAGTATTTAAGAAATTTAAGCTTCATAGGATACACAACATGCAATATATTTTGATCTCTTTCACATGCATGCAAATGAGATGCAATCTCTAGAACATGGTGCAACACAAGTGGACTGGTAGAATAATAAACACTAGACACAACAACAGTGTAGTCATAAAAGAGTTCTAGGAACTACAAAATCTTTTTAGCACAATACCAATAATTTGGAGTCAACAATGCAGATCCATAATTAAAATTAATGAACATAGAAAAGACTTCCTTATATGGAACCAAGTGTTTTAGCATAAGGTATGTAGCATTTCATCTAACATCCATATCCAAGCCAAACTTTCTAGGTCTAACACCCTTAGCATTACAGTAGTTTTTAAACATAGCAATTCTTTGATTAAAGGAATTCAAGAAATTAATTGCAGTTCTAAAATCTTCTAGGTAAGGTTTCAACCTCTTTAATCTAGATTTAACAATCAGATTAATTATATGACGTGCACAACGTTGATGCACAAGACTATACTTACGTCTATTAGGTTCCAAAGGATCAGGATCAGGACCCAAGTAACTAGCAAACATGGGTGTCAAAGTGTCCATAGCCTTAGCATTAGATGAAGCGTTATCAAGAGTGACAGAGAAAATCTTATCAATCAAACCAAACTCCTCAACCATAACAGCAATTCTTTCAGCAATATTTTTACCAGAATGTTTCACTTCAATCAACCTAAGACCAATAACCTTTTTTGTAACTCCTAATCAGCATTCACGTAGTGAGCAACAACACTAATGTAATCCTCCTTAGCATTACCAGACCAAATGTCAGAAGTCAAAGCAAGAGATGATGCAGCAGACAACACATAATTCTTAAGCACATCACGACGTTCATTAAATAGCTTACCAAGATCTCTAGTGGTGGTCCTTCTAGAAGACTTAACAAACACTAGGTTATGAGCACGAATAATATAGTCCTCGAAGGCCTCTATCTCACCTATACCTAATGGAAGGTCAAGCCTAGTAATCAACCGACACAACTCAGATCTAGCCATAGTAGGATTATAGTTCCAGTTATGCATAGAACCATCAGGATTAAAAGCAAGCCTAGACTGAACCCTAGCAGCATGATCAGTCCTTTTCCTATAAGATTTTTGGTGCCTAATCAAATGACCAGTACCAGCAGCAGATCTAGCACTCAAAATAGCCTTACACATTCTATAGATAGCAGTAGTTCGAATCTTGTTACCATTCACCTCCTCATAGATTTCTCAAAATCCACCCAAATAGCAAACTTACGCTTACCCACAACAAATGAGGTAGGAGTACCACCTGTGTTGTTGGTGTTGGAGGCCACCGCCATCCCTGTTGCCATCGCCGCCTCCCCTACACCATCGCCATCTAGATCGATCGGAGCAGGGTCGCTACTGACGTCGACACCGAACAACGCTGCAGCAGCGTCACGGACATTGTCGTCGTGCTCAGGGGACAGCCCTGCCATGATCATGTCCTCATTGTCGGTGATAGGATAGACGACATCGTCATCTTCTGCCATCGGGCCCTCGGCCACGGACGGTAGCTCTCCAGCCCTGTTCTATGCCACAGCTAGAGGATGAGGCATCGGCAACCGACCTACAGAAATAGCCAAACAGGAGAAGGTCAGAACTTAGAAGGATGAAAGGGTTAGGGTTAGGGTTAGAGATAACCTGCGCAACTGGAGCCCGATGTCGGAGAAGACGAGGGCCACATAGAGGTAATGAGATAGGGAACGAATTACAAGGACGGCGAGCGGCAACGAAGGGAGTGACGGGGACACAAACTCACATGGTCACCGAGAGGACAGAGGAGAGATAGGGAAAAAGAAGGGGATCAGGGGACTTAGGGTAAGGTGGGAGAGTGGCGACGAGGTCACCAGAGTTGGGGACGATGGCGATGAGGAGCCTCGACGGTCGGAGTTGAATCGACGAGGAGCGACGAGCGAGTGAGCGGCTACTTAGCGAGAGAGGCTCGGCGCCACGACGGGGAGGGATTCTGATTAGGGTTTGGGGGTGAGGAGAGGGGCGCCCGCGGCGCCTGCTTATATATGGAGCGGGGGGAGGGTGAGGCGGGGAGCTGGGCTGGGCCAGATTCGGCCTATGAGGGGAGGCGGGGAGCCATTGAGGCATCGGGCCACCACCGGGCCTACCATTGAGGAGCGGGCCGTGCCATGCTGGGCCACGTGCCTGGGGTGAGGCCCAGGCACGGCCTGCTCCTCCGGATCGTGCCAACCCGGGGCCGCTGGCCACCGGGGCGGGCCGTGCTTGGGTCAGGCCAAAAATACGGCCCTCGTGTCGGGCTGACGGGCTCGGGCTGCATGCCCATATATACACACACGGAGCGACTGGGCATGAATCGGTGCGAGTGACTGGCGAGGCGCGTGAGATGGAAGCAAAAGCGACGATGCGGAAAGAAATAGGTGGAGGAAGGCGGTGTGCTCAATCTGCGCGGTATGGAGGAATGGAGGTGTTGGACTGCTCCATCTGAGCGGCGGTGCTGCATGCAGTACGGGGAGTGGCGACATTGCATGCGTGACGGGGAGCGATGGCGGCGCCGGGAGATGTGCTGGTGTGGAGTGAGTGGGCTTGCAGTTGAGCCAGATTGAATAGGCCAGACGAAAATAATGGACAATAATTTTGGCTCTTTAATATTAATTAATTATTAGCTAGACTAGACTAGAGAATAGATAGATATATAGTAAATAAAATAATAAAATAATAGACTTGTCCTCTTCCCTCAAACCCAACTTGAAATCTATTCGAGGCCCGGCCTAAAATGAAGTACCTCGAGCCCAACTTGAAATGTGTTCGAGGCCCGGCCAAAAAAATCAAGCCTGCCAGAGAGCTCGTTGACAGCCCGCTGCACTCAGGCTCAGCTCACAGCTCACCCTCCTCTCTTCTCGACTCGTCTCTTCTCCGTCTCCTCCCGATCCCGCTCGGGGGAATTTGTTGGGGGAGAAGAAGCGAGGGGGAGAGAGAGCTAAACTAGGGTTCAGGGGATTCGGGGCCGAGAGGAGCGCGATGAGCATCGTGCCCAAGGAGACGATCGAAGTCATCGCTCAGAGCGTCGGCATCCCCAGCCTCGGCGCCGATGTCGCCGTTGCGCTCGCCCCCGACGTCGAATACCGCCTCCGCGAGATCTTGCAGGTCAGGCCCCGTCCCCCTTGCCTAGGGTGTGCTTGTGTATGATGTGAGATGGAATTTTGAGGGCTGCATGATGGGATAAACTTGTCAAGTGAGATGGTGTTCGTTTTTCCACTGGTACAACTGGTGGAAAACTCTTTTTTTTACTTTCTTTCAACTGATAATTCGAGTTATGCTGCTTAATTAGTTGAGTCCATACAATTCTTTCCCTTTAGCAGAAGATCTGAATGAACTAAACAGCAGCTCTCTTGAAGGAAAGGATGAGTGGATTTTCATGTGGGGAAATCGGAATTATTCTGTCAAGTGATTTTATCAGCATCACTTTGCAGCTATCAGACCTCCAGTCACCATTCTCTGGATTTGGAAAGCAAAGTGCATACCCAGAATTAAGTTTTTCTCATGGCTCCTTCTGAATGACAAGCTAAATACTAGAAATATGCTGAGGAGAAGAAATAAGTTCCTGGAGGATTACAGCTGTGTCATGTGTAGTAGCAATACTGAAGAAACTTTGGAGCACTTGTTTTTTGACTGTCCCAGTGCTGCAGCTAGATAGTATAAACTTGTTATTGTCTGGGATGATGAAGCTGTGATACATCACAAGCTCTTGATTGCCAAAAATGATTTTCCCTTTCCATTCTTCATGGAGGTTTTCATGGTTGCGGCCTGGTGCCTTATGGAATGAACGGGATCCGCAGTGGTTTTTAATGGGAGGACTCCTTGCTTGAGCTCCTGGAAAGCAGCTTTCAAGAAAGAAATAGTGGTGCACCTCTATAGAATCAAGCCTGTCTTGCATTCTTCTTTTCGGCTGTGGCTTAATACAACAACAACAACAACAACAAAGCCTTTAAGTCCCAAACAAGTTTGTGGTAGGCTAGAGTTGAAACCCAGCGGAAGTTCAGGCACGTGAATAGCTGTTTTCCAAGCACTCCTCTCTAAGGCTAAGTCTTTGGGTATATTTCATCCTTTCAAGTCTCCTTTTATTGCCTCTACCCAAGTCAACTTCGGTCTTCCTCTGCCTCTCTTCACGTTACTATCCTGGCTTAGGATTCCACTACGCACCGGTGCCTCTGGAGGTCTCCGTTGGACATGCCCAAACCATCTCAACCGGTGTTGGACAAGCTTTTCTTCAATTGATGGTACCCCTAATCTATCACGTATATCATCGTTCTGAACTTGATCCCTTCTTGTATGACCGCAAATCCAACGCAACATACGCATTTCCACGACACTTATCTATTGAATATGTCGTCTTTTCGTAGGCCAACATTCTGCACCATACAACATAGCAGGTCTAATCGCCGTCCTATAAAACTTGCCTTTTAGCTTATGTGGTACCCTTTTGTCACATAGGACACCAGATGCTTGGCGCCACTTCATCCACCCTGCTTTGATTCTATGGCTAACATCAAGGCTGTGGCTTAATAGCTTGTAATTTTTTCTTTGTTCTTTTTCCTTTTGTTGTACCTTTCTGGCTAACTTCTAGTTAGCCTTGGAACCCTCTTTTTTGGGGTCCTCCTCTTTTTATTAATTCAATGCCACCGGGGGGTTTATGCCCCACGGTTTCAGTTCAAAAAAAAAAAAACAGAAGAGTGTCCCACGGCCAGATATTTCATTAGCTAGTGGTTTTCATAATTCACTTCTTTGTGGATACTGTCTGTTCCCTTTCCGCCACCTGCGCTAATTTATGCTAAACTTATAATCACACAAGTCTTCATGAAACCTTGCAGTCTTACTACTTCTTTTGCCATTGTGATGATCCCATTTTCTGTGTTTTGCCTCAGGAATCCATTAAATGTATGCGGCATGCAAAGCGGACTGTTCTGACGGTGGATGATGTTGACAGTGCCCTGGGGCTCAGGAATGTTGAGGTGAATTATCTTCCTATGCTAAAATTTCTGGATACTTGCAATGTAGGTTTGTAGGTCCACTATGCACTTGTGAATTGGTAGCTAATAATTTGTTTCAAAAAAAAATGATAGCTAATAAATTTAGGATCCTTTTTTTTCGTCGTATTGTTTTTCCAAATCATGTCCAGAACTTCCAAAACATGTAACTACAATCAACTTTTAGATTTTGATAAGTAAGGAAACCGTCCACAAAGAAGTAATTTTTGGTTCAGTAAACAATCGAACAAGTAATTTTTGAAGGATGATTCCATATATTTGTTATCTTGAAATTCCATCTCAGAAATCTTTAGCAAAAAATGGTTTTGTACTGGCACATAGTTGTTTTTACTACAGTTGTAATATCGGTTCCTCAGTTCATAGATGTGATTTTCTGACTAGAATTTTCTCAGCATGTGAAGCTCTTTGATTAGCTTCTGTTTGTGTGAAACTGCCTTATGCAATTTTTCGTCATACTTTTATATTGAAGAGTGCCTAAATCCTCTGCTACACCTTATTTTATTTGAACTGACTCTGCTGTTCCATTACTATGGGTTCTCAATCAGCCCCTATATGGATTTGCTTCTGGTGATCCATTGTGTTTTAAGAGAGCTGTTGGGCATAAGGATCTCTTCTATCTTGATGATCGGGAGGTAGACTTCAAAGAGGTAGGGGCAATATTAATGATTATTGAATTTTCGTACCACTTATTTCAAAATCATTCATATGAAATGTTTCTTCCTGGTTGGTGTCATGCAGATTATTGGAGCTCCTCTACCTAAAGCCCCACTGGACACATCAGTTGTAGCCCATTGGCTAGCGATTGAGGGGGTACAGCCTGCAATACCGGAGAATCCTGCTATTGACGGTTTGCTCTTTTTGTCCAGAGATTTATAGTCCTTACTTTTGTCCTTGACAAGATGTAGTCACATTCTTCTAATATTGAGAGAGAAAACACTTGTTGTGACAAATAGCATTTTATTTCAGCAATTGTACCACCAACTGAAAATAAAAGGTCTGAGCATGGGAAGGATGATGGACTTCCAGTTGATGTCAAGCTTCCTGTTAAGCATGTATTATCTAGAGAACTACAGGTACTTTGATTATGATACCGCGCATTGTATTACTCATATATTTCCAAGAAACTTATATACCTCTTCACTGTTTGGTTTTGCAGATGTACTTTGATAAAATAGCTGAGCTTACTATGAGTAGATCTGATACATCCCTTTTTAAAGAAGCTTTAGTGAGCTTGGCAAAAGATTCTGGTCTTCATCCTTTGGTTCCTTACTTTTCCTACTTCATTGCAGACGAGGTTGTACAGTAGCTTCTTGCTTTTGGTGTTATTTTTTTGAGATGGCATTAAGTGTGTAACCATCTGAATTTCAGGTTACCCGGAGTTTGGGTGATCTTCCTGTTTTATTTGCTCTAATGAGATTAGTCCAAAGTCTTCTCCGTAATCCACATATTCATATTGAACCTTATGTAAGTGGTAAACCATAAAGTTTTGATAGTTCATGTGTGTGACTTATTTTTTAGTCATTTTGTATATTCTTCTCATCATATTAGTCCTAAATTAGCAATGATTATCTTGATTTGTAGTTGCACCAGCTGATGCCATCAATGATCACTTGCATTGTTGCAAAAAGGCTAGGGCATAGGCTCTCAGATAACCACTGGGAACTTAGAGACTTCTCTGCCAATTTGGTTTCCTCGGTATGTCAGAGGTGAGTGATATGTGAAGGGTGTCGGTAGGTCCTTTGTATAATTATCAAAATTCAATTCAATTACATTTATGATTTCAACTCCTTGATTCCCATATTATGATCTTAAAGAACAGTTCATACGAAATGTGCCCATGAAAGTGCTTTATCTTAGTTATGCTAATATGCTATCTTTTCGACAGGTTTCAGATGAAGGTTAAGTCAATAATAGTTTGACCACTATTTCATACTCTTTCTTCCATATATATAAGATTTTACTATTTTGTGGGATCATGTTATATAAGGGCGGGCCTGGTGCAAGCGGTAGAGTCTTACTGCCTGTGACCGGAAGGTCCCGGGTTCGAGTCGCGGTCTCCTCGCATTGCACCGGCGAGGGTAAGGCTTGCCACTGACACCCTTCCCTAGCCTCCGCACAGAGCAGGAGCTCTCTGCACTGGGTACGCCCTTTTTTTTTGTGGGATCATGTTATATGTGACATGATCAGTTTCATGGCAGCTTACATCTTCTTTAGCGGAAAACATACCAATAAACCATTGCGTGGCTTTGCTACTGAGTAGACTACATATTGTGTTCCTTTTAGAGACCAACTGGTAAATAAATATTTTCACTATGCTGTTTGTGGACAGAAGATTTGTTTCAGTTCTATCTTCATGCATTTGTTGGGTGGGTCATGACTTGTTCGTGTCTTTGTGTTCCCCATAAATCCATTTTCTTTTGGAATTGATAGATCCATAGCCTTTTGCATACTCTGCTCATGGAGTGTGAGTCCTTTTCTGAACGATGATCTCTAGCTCTCTTTGCTAATGGTCTTTTCTGTATGTAGTAATTGGCTAATTGCCTTAATAATTTTCTCGTGACATTGTTGATCAACTGAAGATGATGGTTTTCAGGTTTGGTCATGTCTATCACAACCTTTAAAATCGGTTAACTAAAACATTGATCCATGCATTTCTTGATCCTGCCAAATCACTGACACAGCATTATGGTGCTGTTCAAGGGATATCTGTATTGGGGCCCAGCGCGGTAGATCCCATTCGAAACTCATTTTTTGTATTAGTTATGCACTGGCTGATTGTTTTTTCTGCTTACCAGATTAAACTTCTTCTTTTGCCCAACCTTGTGACATATATGCAACTTCTTGAGCCGGAACTGCAGCTTGAGAAGCAGAAAAACGAGATGAAAAGGAAGGAAGCTTGGCGTGTTTATGGTGCCTTGCTGGTCAGTTTAGAGTTCTCACTCAATATAATGTTTACTGTATTTTGGTTCACCAACTATTCCAAGCTAAGTTTCATACCAGTGGGATGCATTTTTTTAGTGTGCTGCAGGCAAATGCTTGTATGATCGGTTCAAGTTATTTCCTGGTTTGCTTTCTCCATCGACACGGCCTCTTTTACGGAGCAATAAAAGGGTCTTAACCAACAACCCAAGTAAGTGCTGAATATAAGCACACTATCAATTGAATATATGCACACTAGACACAAGTTGACTGGCAATTAAGTGCCAAATGGTCCTTGTTGTCAGCAACTGAGTTAGTAGAGTTTGAAAGTAAAGAGTATGTTGCTCTGCAAATTTCAGATAAGCGAAAATCTAGCACAAATCTCTGTGCAACTCAGCCACCTCTGAAGAAGATGGCAACAGACGCAACAGCCAACTCCATGGCCTCAGCTACCATGGGAGGAAACATGCAAGGTGCCATGGATGGCTTTTCCAGCCAGTTAGCCAACCCTGGCATGATGCAGGCCTCGTCCTCTGGGCAGATGGTGGAGAGCATGCCATCAGCTGCGATCTGGAGAGATCAGGGCAGTGATCTCGCACAGAGAGTTTCCGCAGTGCTTAGGCAAGCTTGGAAGGAGGATCAGGACACCAGTCATCTCTTGGGGCCTCTGTACGAGGTCTTCGGTGAAGCCATCTTCTCCTTTGTCCAACCACCAGAGATATCCTTGTTTGTGTAGAGAGGAAATGCATAGGCTCTGGGTTTCGTTAATCTACGCTGTTGTACAATTAGGGATATTTTTGTAGAGTTCCTGCCAGTTGTAGTTTACTCAGTTACTGCACGTATTTGTAACATATTCCAGTTATGTATACCGTGCTGCTAAGTTATGGTACTAGTATTTCAAGTCTGTCTATCCAATACATGCATTACTCTCTTCGACCAAAATAAGTGTCATTCTAGCCTTGTATACTTGTCGCAAACGCAAAATAAGCGTCGTTCTCACACATTTCTCTTCTTCCAATTCATCTATGTTTTCTCTTCTCTAATACATTTCTATCTATCTTTTTCGTTTCCTGAAATTGACCTGCACTCATCCACATCTTTCAATCTAATAGTAGTGTTGGTGCTTCTCCTTTTGTCAAAGGTTTCATGTGGGCTGCCCAAGCAACCAGGATGGGATATTAGATGGGTCATTGGTAATGGGGAGAAGATTAGATTCTGGAAGAATAATTGGTTAGGTACTTCAAGTCTAGCAATTCAATATTGGAAGCTTTATAGATTTGTTAATGAGAAAAATAGGTCTGTAGCTAGTTTTATGGGATGGTGTAGACCTTAAATGCACATTAGTATAATGGGGGATGATAATATGCTACAGCTTTGGGATGAGGTCTGTGTTCAGTCACTGTATAAGATAATTAATTTCAGCCGCGATTCTTCGTGCTCAATTTCGGCTTGTTCGCTTGAGCTTATTAGCCAGAATCAGCCTTACTTTTCAGCCATGGAAATATTATTTTTCTCTCACAACAAATTAGCTCTACAAATCAGAAGCAGCAGCGATAAGTCATGCCGAACAGGGCCTCCAGTGCAGAAAAGACGTAAACATGAACTGTCCAGGGCTTAGATTTAATATCATATCCTTTCCAGGGTCTTACATGAAAAATGACCGGCTAAAACTAAAAAAGCATGTACGTGACGATATGAGCCCCTCGCGGGTTTGGTTCCCTCCCTTATCCTATTCCCTTCATGGCGCTTCTCCTGCGCCTCGCTGCTCCGTCGGCGCCGCCCCGGCGGAGCTCCGGCGGCAGGGCTTTGCCGCGCGTCGTCCTCCCGGAGTCCATTTCCAGTGAGTGTCCCCCAATTCCTCCTCGGTCCGTTTCCCTCTTTTCCTTGCATGGCCATTCCCTCGTCAATTTCTCGCGGCCTCCGTTCCTATCGTTTCACGCTGGCTTATCCAATCCTGCAATCCATTGCTCCTCTGGGCAGCAGTTACCTCCAGCCCGTGTGCTCTTGTGGTCTCTCTCGCCTCCGAACTGCTGCGCACCGGAGCTGCTCGACGAAATGCTCGCCATCCCCTCTCTCTCTCTCTCGACTTCGGTTGTTTCTGTTTGTTGCACTTGTGCGTGTGCGTGTGTCACTGAATGTTACTGCAAGCTGCCGGTCTGCTGTAGTCGTCACAGTGAGGTTTCTAGCAATCGCGGTGATAGGAGCTTTAGGGACTCTGAAATCTTGCAAGAGTGCGAGACGATGTCCCATCGACCATTGTGTACATTTTGGTATTTTGGTTGATCCATTTGCCAATGGCTGCCTAGAGACGTGTTTGATACCAGGTTCACACTTCAATATATAATCTCGAAGTCAGGATGTGTGGATACTGTCCATACAACCTTTATTTTTTTAATCTTGTTTGGGCAGATGACAACTTTTGGCATCCAGATCCTTTCCCCCATAACCTTTTGTTGGTGGTGGTAATTTGCTGTGGTAGAGGGGCTGTTGTTAAACATGTCGACAATTAACTAGTGTTAGCAATTTTTTCTTGCCCTTTCTTGTGATGTGAGAGAGGAGGGCAGTATTATCCTACGAGGTGTTGTTTGACTTCAGTAATAGCTGTGCTAATGCTTAACTAGGTGCTTTTGTTAATGTGAGGGGCTCTTATGCAATATGCACTCCCTTTAAAAGGAAATACAGCTTTGACCTTTGAGTAGCCTCCGATCTAAAACTTGCTTCTATCAGGTCCACATCTCTCCATTTCTTTGAACGTGGCAGCATATATCTCTGGCTACTTGCACTATGCGCTTAACGTAAGTGCTTTTGTAACAAGATCACTCACTTTAAGTTTGTAAAGTCTTTGCTTGCTAGAAGAGTATTGCCATTTGATCTTTAATGTTTCATCCTTGCTTTGTGATTCTGCCTGAAAACCGGGAAAGAAAAATCCCACCTTTTTGTTGCCATTCCCATGCATGTATTATTTCCATAGGTTCACATTGTTAAGTTAATATGGTCATTCTATTGGATAAAATTTAACTTTACACCTGTTTAGTTAACACCACAGTTATGTTGGTCAATTTAATGAAATATTTGTCAGTATTAAGAATGTGTAAGTTACTGCTCATTTTTGTGTTTTTTTTTCTTCTAGAATGTGATGTCACTACTGATCATGATTAACCAAATTTATAATTCATCTTTCTGACAAAGTCATTGCAATACTTACACAATGTGATGCAAAACTTTAAGTAACTAATTCACTTTTGTCATGCAGAACAATCATTTCTTCTTCCTTTACTAGTTGACAGCACTGCAAGTCTGTCCTGTCCTATTAAGTGTTCTGCGGCTCGGCGTGCCCCATCACTGACTGATCACACCGATTCTAGGAATGATGGCATCCATGCAGCTAGTGTATATGGACATGATCTCATGAAATCCATATCTGATCTTCAGGTATGACGGTGAGTCCCTTGCTCTATTTTTAGCATGTATCATCTGTTAACATAACAACCCTTTGATTTGAAATAAGGCTTAAGGGGACTTAACTTTTCCTAATAATTAAAACTAACCTAGTACTGTCTTATTGAACACAGCTTAATTTTTCTGCTTGCAAATTTTGTATGGAAACCTCAGCTATAATGATATGCAACTCATTATTTTCTTATACTTGTCGCAGGAAGTTGTATGTTCTTCTTTTAGCAAAGCATGTCTTCTCAGTAGTTGTATCATATATGTTCTACCACCCAGTTGTATAGCAGAACCATGTGAGCAAGCATACTCTCTCCCTAACATGCCTTTGCTGTTCGCAATAGCCATGGTTGGTGCTACTGTTGGAGGTAAGCTCATCACATTCTTAACTTAAAAGAAACTTTCAGGCATAGAACGTTGGTTGGAGCTTGAGAACTGATTGTGGATTTAAGCATGACAATACACAGTGGACGGTTTCCTTACTTCTGTGTTTATGTTTTCTAATGATCATCGACATCATCTTTTGTTACAAATGATTTGAATATCTGAGCATTAAGAGCACACACTGAATCACTTCTAATTCCAGGGAAATGCAGGAGCAATGCTATGCACTCTTGCAAGTTAATACTTGTAAAACACAACTTTTTATGTTTGATTTCTTCTTCCCCAGTTTCTTATTTAGCAGTGCATTTTGTTAAATTTAAAACATATACATAGAAATGCATATTCAGATGCAACAAATACGGAGTGCAAAGAAAATTACATTTAGGAGCATCCTAGTTATTATCATACATATGTTCGATTGCTTTTTTCCCTAGTTTCCTTATTTAGCAGTGCATTTTTTGTTAAATTTAAACATAATACACAGCAACTGAAACAGATGCAAATGCAACAAAGAAGGAACGCAAAGAAAATTACATTTAGGAGCATCCTAGTTATCTTACCGATTACCCAAGTGACTCTTGCTTTCCTTACTTTCTGCACCACCCAGTTATTGTGAAAAAGACACCTCATTGTAAATAAGAGGAAATAGGCACCCAAATTTGAGTTGAAGAGGTCTTGAACTTAGGTTCTGGGAGTGTACACCCACACCTCCCACCAACTGACCTCCTACCAGTTAGTCTGAAAGAACTGGATTATTTCAACTAATTTCCAGTTTTCTTTTGTATCTGCAACTATTTATGGCATTATAGTCTTTTGTGCTGATTACCTTCCCTGTTTCTTTTGACTATAACTGCGTTGTTGATTTTGCATAGTCGAGACTTTAAATTTTGTTATATGAATGGTTTCTGCATCATGTTGAACAATTCAGATATCCTGTAGGGCTCCTTGCGAGACAGAGGAGAGGGGAGCTTGCACGTCTAAATGATCAATTACGTCAGATAAATGCTGCACTGAGAAGACAAGCCAAGATTGAATCTTATGCTCCTTCCTTGAGCTATGCCTCAGTTGGTAGTAAGATACCAGAATCAGAAGTTATTGTTGATCCTCAGAAAGAGCGCCTAATTGCATATCTCAGGACTGGGAAGAACTATCTGAGAAACCAAGCTCCTGACAAGGCATTTCCTGAGTTTAAGGCAGCTCTTGATCTTGCACAATCTTTAGGTGATCATGTTGAAGAGAAGAAGGCAGCACGAGGATTAGGTTTGTTCATTATTTTGTGAAACTATAGTTTCATGGTTTGGTTTCACAGATAGTTTCATGGAATTGTGAGAATCTTCCTTTTTTTATTTGGTTAAATGCTACATGGTATGCAAGAGTACAAGTTCAAAAATGATAACGAAGGAAAATGTTTTCAGGCATGTTTAACCAAGTTAAAAATTGATCATATAAACATAATAGAATTGTTGTGTCCCCCATAAAAACTTAAAGTTCTTTTTCCCCTCACCATTCAGCAAAAATGCAAACCACAGACAGTCTGATGTGTTTGTGAAAAGTAACGAAGTTGCTTTGCATTCTCCAGGGGCATCCTTGCAAAGACAAGGCAAGTACAAGGAAGCCATAAATTATCACTCCATGGTGCTAAACATCTCCAAGATGACCGGAGAGGATGCAGGTGTCACTGAAGTATACGGAGCAATAGCGGATTGCTACACCGAGCTTGGTGAGCTCGAGAAGGCAGGCAAGTTCTATGACAAGTACATAGCAAGATTGGAGAATGAATTAGAACAACAGCGCTGATTGGAAAAATCTGTGAGAGCAAAGACAAAGACAACGCTAATCGTGTCTCTGCCCTTTTTCGCTTGCCATGTATTCTACTGTAGATGTGCAGTTCCCAGCTGGAACTGA